TGTTTATATGACAGCGACTGCATCGACCACTGGTTCGTCTTACAGTAGCTTCAGTTGCAGTTTTTAATGGTATTTTTATAATGGTCCTGTTTGACTTCCAGATCTGATTAGTCGCATTTACAACAATTACGATGATATGATGCGAGGAGTCTTGGCGTTGGCAAATACGATCGCTCAAAAGAGCCCTGTCGCCGTGCAAGGAACAAAGGTATTAAACGTTTGTATGTTTTTCGTTGTTCCTTCTAGAAGTTTATTTGCAGATGATTCTGAATTATTCTCGCGATCACACAGTTGATGAAGGACTGCAGGCAGTGGTGAGTCCATGAATTTCCACAATTTCTTCTTATCGTAAAGATTTTTTTGGTAAGTTAGGCAATTCTTCGGCGCAGCAAGCATCTCTATGACACGCTCTCGTATATCCTATTGCGGAAATATCGTATTTGTTGCATGTAGCCTTGAGTATCGAATCGAGCCATTGCGGGAGGGATTGAACGGATCCTATTTCATAATGTGTCCTGTTGCGTAAACAATCTTGGGGCTAAAGAGGGGAATGCCACATTCAAACGCTTTTTCGGTCGAATGAAGATGTTACGTCCGCGATCCACAGGGAGACCTCTGCTCATTTCAACGCGATCGCTGGACGTTTGATAATAACGCTATCACCTCTCTTCGCTATATCCCTCTATTGTATAAAGCGCTAACTTTGTGTGTCGGTTTGTATGTGTATGTATGTATGTATGTGTGTCCGTCCGCAAAATGAAGTGAGTGAGAAGGAAGCTCATGGGATAAACAAACCGCTAACAAATCGGGTAGCTTACAGGATTTGAGATATCAATGTTTTGTAAGGATAGTTGTGATAACACTCTTAGGGCTATATAAACACCTGCTTAGCACACTTCCGTTCATTCCACATGGTGCTGCAGTGGCAGCTGGACAGCAGTGGAGGGAGGAGGAGGAAAAGAAGAGGACGAGAAAAGCAATCCGTTAGCGTCATATCATGATTATGATGATGCCTCGTGCTACATAAATGACGTTTTTGTGCATACGGTTACCTAAACGGGGTGTTGGTGTTACAAGTAGAAAAGAGCACAGCAAAGGCAAAAGTGGGAGGTTCCGGTGGTTGTGGGGGACCAACCTGGTTTTTCTTGAAGGTAGTGATCGCGATGAGCTGATGCCGACAAACTAGAAAGCGAATAGATATTAACTCCATGTAGAGCATCGGTTATAAAAGGTGAAAGAAACCGTCAACTGATGGGAATGGGACCCTCCTCTCTGTCAGTAGTGAGACAGGGTTGGGCCGAAGGAGTCTAAACTACCGGAAGGCTCGACATGATGCGATAAAAAAGTACAGCTGCTTGATATGAAATGCATAAACCTAACGCCTCAAGAGTGGGCGGAATGGCACACAATCATACATAGGTTGGCCCTGGACCTTCGCTTCGCCAGAACTCTTCGCTCCAGCCAAAAATCGAACCTGGCATCTCTGACATACTGGGAGAATGTGCTACAATTCACACTACCGGGGCAACATTTCACCATAACTTAGCTTTTAACGCTGAGCAAGAGAAACCCAGTACTGCTTCACAAGAATGCTGGGTTGTGAACAAAACTTTCGCCCCAGGACGGGACTCGAACCCGCACCTCTTGCTTTCCAGTATTCTTGTGAAACATTCGCAACGCGAACTGCGGCGTTAAACAGCAATTAACAAAGGAAACCAGTCAAGACCCTGTATTGCGTTCTCGGGCGCATAATACCCTTCAGCAAGCATTTTTCCCAATATGAACACCCATCGCGACCACTGTCTGTAGTTGAGCATGAAAAGACAATATTTATTAGAGACCTCTTTCCGAAAATTCATTTTGCAGGCTACATGGAATCAGTCTCAGCTGATGACGGAGGACATAGTGAAGAGCGGCTTAGCCGCGTTAACGAAGTCTCCACTGCCGCCATTTTCAAAGCGATTTCAACGAGTTTTTGCAATGACTTAATGTTTATATTTTTGACTTCTATTGGTAAGTAAAGCACTGGTCTGTGTCGCATCGAAAGCTAACTCAATAAGCACTTGATTCATGGCAATCTTCTTTTCACTTGTAAAAATATCGTGACTGAATTCCTCAAGGTAAAACCTCTATGACCTACTGTTGTTTGAAGTGGCAGAAACTGTCAAAAACCCTCTGCTCTCTAAGTAAGCAGGGTGAAAATCGTGTCGAGGAAATAACCGCCTCTTTACGACCCCCCTCCAAAACATGACTCTGATACGACCCCTTTTTGTCCTCTGCACATCCGGTTTCATATCAAAAAATGCTAGTTTCAGATGTGCGAGAGGGACGCAGCGCCGCTGCCACGCAAATGCGGCTTGATCCAAATGCTAGATTCAATTCTGCTCAGATTAGGTTCTCCTTCTTTCCTTTAAAGACATTTAACCTTTGCCACATTGGCCGGAAAGTAGAACATTGAAGGAGGTACTGCCCCTACAGTTGAACAGTCTCGCGCTCCAGTATAGCGGCGCTAACTACCCGCGATCGCGTCGCGCGCTGTGCCTAGAGCGCGCTAGTTGGAAAAATCGTCAAATGTACCCCCTATTTAAAGGACTATAACTTTCTTCATTGATAACCATTTCAGAAAGTGAAGGCAGCTTTTGAATGCACAAGACTTCTAGTTTCTAAATTGTGCTGAGCGTTTTTCTAAGCACGCCTATTCTCGAGAGTGGGAGACGTCGAGAATTGTCGAGGAAATTGAAATTTACATGCGAGTTCCCACTCTTTGGAAGACAGTAGCTGTCTTCATTGGCAATGCTTTGAAAATCGGAGGAAAGCGTTGTAAAGTAGAAGATTTACGCTTTTTAAAGGTGCTCCAGTTGTTTCGAACGCTTTCTAGTTCGCGAGAAATCTGCGTCGAGGAAATGTCAAGGAAGCCACTCGAAAACTCTATTCCCTCGCCGTAGTAGGGAACTTCTTTGAACACCTTCAAAATACTTCTGTACACGTCAGTTCGATGGAGTAAATTGAAAATGATGCACTTGGCGCGGATCCATTCCGTTCTTGTATGCGCCATGCAGTGACCCCACTCGGAGTCATTGGGAAGGTGTTTTGTCCTAGTGACGACTTGCTTAATCACACCAAAAGATATTTCCAGTATTAACTAATTAGGATAACTCTTGTGGTCATAGTGATGTCTGATCATTCCTTTATTCAAATCGCTTCCTTTCCAACCCGTTCTGATGAATGACAGCTTGCGGTTGCAGGATCTGATGATGCCAAGAAGGCTGCGAATCTGCCTGTTTTGAACTTTCTACCAAGATGCTGTTCCTCCACTAAGTTCTCGAAGCATGTGCATCATTCTAGAGTAGATACTCGCTGCCCTTCCCTACGATTCTTTTGCAGGACGCGTTGCCTTCCTATGCCATACTGATCACTACGAACCAAACCAACACACTTTCCATTTAAATTTTAATTCCAGACAGGTGTAAGATATTATTTGCATTAGGCTAACTACAACACTTGTGAAAGTAATGATGACAGCAAATAAGTGGCAGCAGCACCGTTGTGTCCGTTGGAACCTTTTGATTACGACCCCCTCCCAACTCTCATCGGAGCAAATACGACCCCCTGTCGAGGATTTCCTCGACCGTTATTCACCTGAAAGTTTCTTCTAACATAGCTGAGATGGAGCTATACCATGAAACACCGTCGCTACACAATTTCACTCTCTACAAAGTCCTACTAGTGCTTCCCATCTCTGTCAACAGCTTGTGCAAACTCCAATTTTTGCTTCTGGTGAATTTTGAAGATGGCGAAATTCTCGGAAGATTGCTCAAAGACTATTTCGCTGCACGTGACAGAAATCTGTATCAGTGCTCCGCTAATAACCAACAAAAGTGTTGCTCCGATCATCAAACCTACTTCGCGCGGTTTGTTCTGATCTTCAGCAAATGGGGTGCAACTAGAATGCATACAAAAACGTAAAATGAGTTTATGTCATTGATGAAAGATAATCATTTGATCAGTTTTTCGGATAGTTCTTCCTTATCGAAGTTACTTAGCGTAATTTTGCTTCAGCCCTCGCTTCGGCTGCCTGCACCTTTTTGTTGTATTTTTTGAGCATAGAAACGTAGGCGTCCAAGTAAGGGCCGTATTTTTTACGTGGCAGCAAATTTTCCTGTAATTGAATAATAGCATGATCTCAAAGGAACTCCTGCAACTCTCAGACTCCTGATCAGTGATAAGCGAAACACTACTGAGAGTAGTGTAATCTCTGTCTGTGACAACGAAGTGTTATATACTAGCATTCTTCATAGGTACTTTGAGCTTCAGTGAATCTACAAGGACCCGATACGGATGCACCAGCCTGGTCACTCATCCATCCTCCCTCGCTCTCTCCGCCCCCCATACGATCTCTTTCGCGAGGATTCTTGACCCCCCATACGATCTCTTTTCCGAGGATTCTTCGACGCAAGTTTGATCCTGGCACAAAGCACCATAAAAATTTGAACCTCTCAATAGAGTAAACTCCTAATTCTGCTGCCGCATAATGAATTTTTTTCTAATAAAAAAATTGTCATAGGTTAGGTAAAAGTAGATTAAAGGCGGAGCTCTGATGGAAAGACGGCCCGCTAGAAATCAAGGTGAAAATTATACAGGGATGAAGAAAAAACCAAGAAGAACATCATCATCATCAGTGCTGCCTCATCAAAGCTAACGCTTTCTCTGCTCTGCTCATAGTAAATCTCTGCAAAAGGGTGGGCAGGCAGCAGCGATACCGGCGCAGGGACGGCCATGGTTAATTTCCGAGCCATATCCTTCGTTGCAGATTGCGTATCGGCCCGCACCCTCAGGGGGTCCGCCTGGGTCGCCTTCCTCGACCTCCAACCTTGTCGAAAATCTCTTTCAGGGTAACTTGCTGAATCTAATCCCATTAGCGCACCATAAAAACTGCAATGTTAAGTCACTCAGGAATAAATCTCTTACCTCATTAGCCATTTCAAGCAGGCACATATGCAAAAATATGTATTGTATTGGTGACTGAATTGCATGGAACCGTTGCTGCCGAACCTCTTTCAGGACATCAATCATCTGCACGTCGCCGTTTTCGCGAATTCTTTGCCATGCGTAATCGATTGCTGTGAAAATAATTGAGCTTGGCGTAGCAGAAATGTTAGCAATCCTACTATATATAATCTGCTAAACGGTTGCGTGTGTGCCTGTCTGTCTGACCGGAAAATAATAACACCACTCCCTTTGGTCCTTGAGCGCTCTACCTTCAAAGGCATACGGGGGCTAAACGTGAACACTGATAATAGGTGTGTTTGTTTTCTTATCGCCCTGTCTTGTCGTAGTACCACATTTAGGCTTACTAAAGACTGAGGCCTCAATTTTAGGATCGTAAGGTTTCTTCTTCTTTTTTCTTTTTCTCCGCGCATAAGGTTTGCCTTCCTGGGTAAGAAACCATAAACATTTGCTTGAAGAAAGGTATTGGACAACGTATGCCTGGAGACCCCCCTTTCTAAAACCGTTATCACGGTTTCTCAATACAGAAATTTATTGGACAATCAGGATCCGTCCATGGGCAGGGTCAACCCTGCGTTGCGCAAATTCCAGAATTTTTACGACCTCTTCCTTTTCGGAGGGTATCGGTACGACCCCCCCCCATATTAACTATTATGTCTTTCACATAATTTAATGCTCATCAATGTATGGGCAGTCACCAACATGGAGAAGTTGGTGGACCGTGGTCAATCCGCGCGCTTTGTTAGCTTTCTTCTGTGGGACCAGAAAACGTTCGTTTTATTCATTAACCCACTCGCGACCGAGCGGGTTTTTCACGACTTCGCAATGTCAACCACCGGTGGCTGACATGGTCCCAGGGGAAATCCATCTCTTTTTTTTCGATTCTTTTTATGCACTTTCTACCACCCTGGGGGTTAACGAGGGTCCTGATCACGAATATGATATCCATTTTCGCCGCTGGCGCCAATTTGGCGCCATATGGCGCCAAATTGGCGCTAGGGTTGTTT